AATTCTTTTTTTCAGATCCTCAGAGTTCTTTGCCATGAGGTGCCATGTTGAACTTCCAGTGACCAGTATGAGAGAGAGAGAGCGATAACACCAAATTTAACACACCTGCTTCCCATTCACACCTGAGACCTTGTAACACTAATGAGTCACATGACACCGAGGAGAGAAAATGGCTAATTGGGCCCTATTTGGACATTTTCACTTAGGGGTGTACTCACTTTTGTGGCCAGCGGTTTAGACATTAATGGCTGTGTGTTGAGTTATTTTGAGGGGACAGCAAATTCACACTGTTATACAAGCTGTACACTCACTACTTTACATTGTAGCAAAGTGTAATTTCTTCAGTGTTGTCACGTGAAAAGATATAATAAAATATTTACAAAAATGTGAGGGGTGTACTCACTTCTGTGAGATACTGTATATTATGAACAGTAATTTCCTAAAAAATGTTTATCATCAACTTATCATTGTCAATGTGATTTGAGAATAAAAAATAAAAAAACATTCTCATTGGTTCTTATTGGAACATATTTTTTTATAGTGGACTGTATGCATTTGCATTTACTCAAACTGCTGTAATAGTAGTACTAGAGAAACAATGCACGATTGATGCAACTTCCATTTGTATTCAAAGCATCTCTACATGACAGGCTTCTGACTTACCCAGAACAGACACCACAGCAACCAGCGATGGAACGTAGCGGTTGGTCTTCGCATTGTAGGCCACACAGCTATAGTTTCCACTGTTTGTTTCATCTACATTGGTGAGGGTAATGCTGGCTGTGGTCTTCTGAGGCATCTCCTCCCCATTAAGCATCCACTGGAGCTGAGCGGGAGGGTCAGACTGGGCTGAGCATGCGAGTGTTAAGTTAGAGCCTTTCTTAAGAAATGAATCTGTTGGAGTCTGTATCATGACGACTTTCTCTGGGCCATCTAGATAAATGAAAAAAATAAGAAGAAAATGCTGATGAAAAAGAGGCACAAGTAAAGCTTCATAAAGTACTTGCAAGGCAGCTATGTTTTTAGAGATTTTAGATAAATCCCAATACATTTTTTAAGGAAATACAATTCTAGTTTTTGAATATACGTTTTTACTAGAAGAAAAAACATCACAAGTTGTCTTGTTACATCATTTCACATCCTCCATTTTTTTAGGATAGTGTAAATGTTATCTTTAAATGAGGAGGATGTATTTTGAGTATCGGGATGTGGTTACAGTTCAAATTTAGGCCAATGAATTTTACTGCAACTCAAAAATATTTTTAGAAAGCATTGATAGTCTAAGACTCAAGAGATTCTGCTGCAATGCATTTACTTCATGACCAAACCATGCACTTCAAAGAGATTTGATCTGGATCTGTTTAGAATGTAAATGCAGACATCCACAAACAAACACTATTTTAAAACATTCATCCTCTTCCTGCTGTTCACAAGCTCATTCACAACCATATTTTATCTTAGCTCAGCCTGCATTTTTTCCTGCACCTGCAGCAGAACCTGTCTGAACTAGAAAGTCTCTTCTGATCTCTGCTGTCATGTGTGCTTTCTAGTGCACACCATCTGCAGAGACAAAGACTGGAGACAGTAAAAACAAAAGACAACCTTAACTTATCTGCACCAGTACTGCTAAAATCATAGAGTGTATTAGTACATTTTACTGCAAGTGTTTGTATGCGCAGACATGTGTGAATTTATGTGTGAAGACACATAATCAGCTTTGTTGTAAAACCAGGGTCATTATGTAACACATTTCCATTATTATTGTCTTAATAAAATAGTTCAGTCAAAAAAATTAAGTTGTGGCATATTTACACAATAATACAAAAAAAGTGCCAAAGACCTTCGGAACAGACCGAAATGTAATTAGCTTTTAATTGATAATCTTCCCCTATGCTAAATCTTACATTTATTCCATATTCGTGCTAAAAAATGGTACATTGTGTTCATGCTACTTCACATGCCACTCCGGAGTAACCTGGACAAAAACTAGGTACAAACAAGAGGATTTTCAATTAAAAACAACTAAAATTGTGAACTGTTCCTCACACAGTGCTATAGAATGGCTTCTAAACACTTGTAATATAGTGCAGAAGTTGTATGCACCACTTATGGTGCAATTTTTCATGGAAAAGTATTGCGTAAACATAAAAGATTACATCATATGGGCTTGGAACGACATAAGGGTGAGTAATCAATGACAAGTTTTTTGCTGAACTATTCCTTTAAAGGCATTTGTCTCAGACTAAGCATGTGTGGGTGTGATCAGGTACGTACAGCTCACAGTGAGATTGAAGGGAGCGCTCCTCCCTGACTCCAGTGCGTTCTCTGCAATGCAGACGATGGGACCTCGCAGATCTGTACGGCGAACTTCAGCGATAGTTAGCTCATTGCCAACTGTGTTTAGCTGTACATGCGTGCCATCCACCACCAAGGGGTCTGAACCGTTCACCCACTTGTATGTAAAGGAGCCTTTGGCAGAGCAGGTAAGAACCACGGTGCTGTTGAACTCTACAGCTTCAGGTACATTCGATGAAATCTTAACGTCCGTTACGGGTTCTGGAGAAAAGAGAAGAAAACCATGGATTGTGTCCATTCAGAAACATCTTTGCTCTTGCTTAGACTTTCCAAAGGAATGAGAAACCTGAAGTTTAGTGCCTTACTCAAGGCCATAATAGTGACAGGTCATGACTTGCTTCTTGGGCGATCCAACCAACAACCTTTGGATAACCAACCCTGAGATTTGACAACATACATTAAGAAAGCCTCCTAGACAGATCTAAAGTCTGTCAACGCTTGATCTCAAGTCCCTGAATGAATGTCTTTAAAATGAATCATGCTGCAATCATAAGTTTAAATCAAGTCATAAAATGAGTCATCACTACTATCCAGTAGGGCGGATTCAATCATACCATTCATTGTTCTCAAAAACCAAATGCAAATTCCATATGATCTGAAATTAACCCAATGCTTGGCTGTGAGATTAACCGTTTTTGTTATTCAGTGCAACTCTGTCTTAAAGAACTGCTGTGAAGTTCACATTTAGTGTTCAATTAATGCTTTTAACAAATTTGTGCGGGACTTGAACCTTCAACCCTTTATTCATCTGCTCAGACATTCAACCACTAGGCTTCACCACCCCAGTGTCTAGTCTCTCACAGTATACCTTTGATTGCACTGGATAGTCAATACTTACCAAGAACCTCAAGATCAATCTGTCCAGACAGTTGCTTTCCCAAGAGAGTGACTACAGTGAGAGTATATTCCCCTCCATCCTCCTTCACCAGCGGCCCGAGCTGAAGCTCACACGTCGTCTTATTGTAGATGATTCTGCTGGCGTATTTCTCATCAATGTATTCGGTGTTGGATGATAGAATGCTTGTGATTATTGGTGCAATTACTTGACCTTTGTTGAAATTCCATGTTACGGTGAGGAAATCCTGTGTTGAGGTGATTGTTGTCTTGAAGGTCACATGTTTACCTGGTCAAGAGAAATCTAGATAAATCTAGACAAATCTAAACCTACAACTTTGCTGAGTTCTTAGAAAGTATTTAATGAATAGTTTTTTACATTTTTAAATAATATTTGGATATAATGAACCAATGGTGGTGCAACCATCTATTGAAAATATACTCGAATACGATTCTTCCACCTTGAATATGTGAGTACACAACAACAGGTTTTCTTGTCACATGACAACAATATGGCTTGGTTATGCCACACTGAATTTGATTTGGCAGACATTTTTTTTAAGTAATAATAACTAAAATAAATTCCTAAAATAAATAATACATTGTGGCAAACTTCTAAACTACTGAAAGCACTTCTTTTCCATACATTTCAACATTAATAAATATCAAAATTATTTTAAAATAGATAACAAAAACGCACCGACCCATGGATAAACCATAGAACTACTCACCGATAACGCCGTTCGTTTTATCGCTGAGAAGCGGATTGCCCTCGGAACAGCATCCTATAAGAAGAATGGTTTTCAGTCAGGACACTTAAGGATAAAAATAAAACTACACATTACACATTATGTCCTGGTGTAGGCTACTGTTTAAAATCTTTAAATGAAATTTAGATACAACGTTTTAATTTTGGAAATTTAAAAATAAATGTCTAAATGTTCTAAGTGACATTTTTATCTTTTTTAATTTTTGTTTTTAACTTACCGAGAATGGCCAAAATGAGCAAAGCCTGCCAAAAGTTACAGAAATCCATATGGAGAGATGTGAGTGCCTGGAAAACAGACAGGAATGTGAGTCGGTGTGAACTCTCTGTAAGAACTTGAGAAAGCTACCGCGTCATACCCAACCAGTTTATCTGAAACCCCGCCCCTGTTCAACCTGTAGGCTACTCTTCTGATATTATCTTTTACTGTGCTACATTAATGGGAAACATTGCCCCCTAGTATTCGTCATTGGCATTTTTTCCTTCACCACATAAAAGCACACTGCATATTGCCTATTTGCATAGAATACTGAATCAGTGAATAAATATAAATAATTATGGCTGTTTTATTTATCAAGTAAAATCAGCATTAAATACAAAAGCACGCACAAGATCAGGCTAACATGTTAACATTGAAATATGTGCAAGTAAAAAAACGTACAAATAAATAATCAACATTTTTATAATACATAGGCCTGCAAATATAAATAAAATGAATAATAACATATCGATTTTATATAAGATAAACGTAAAATATACCAATAAATGTGAATACAATTATTATAAATAAAAAACATAAAACATAAATAATAAAACATATAAACACACACACACATGCATATATATATATATATATATATATATA